AGTAGAGAGAGAGAGAGAGAGAGAGAGAGAGAGAGCTGACCTGGTGAGGCTTCAATGAGGAGGGGAGGTTTGAGGAGGCAGAAGAGGAGGAGAATGAGGTACATCATGGTACAAGCGTGATTGAGTGCGAACCTGTATTACTCCTCAAGTAACTACAAATGCGTGTTTTAGAGAGAGAAAGAGAGAAATGCTTGCTTCTTGTAGGTTGCAGAGAAGGGTATGAATTGTAAGCAGCAGCGAGAGGCTTCTCTTTCCGAGGGTTTCAAGGGTTTGAATTGGGGAGAGACGCAAGAATTCTGGCTCTCTCTTCCCTCTTGAATCTTGAATTCTTGATAAGAGGGACGCCCAAACCGCTTCTCTCTCTATTACAAAACAATTTCTCTCTCTCTCTAGAAAATGAAAACTATACTACACTCCATATTTAACCAAAAAAAAGTTTCTCTCGCTATCTCTGTAAAAACAATCAGAATTTGCTCTCTTTCTCACTCTAGAATATGAAAACTACACCACCTTTGGTCTCTCTCTTGTTTCCCGCCTAACAGGACTCCGCCTTCTTTTTCTCTCCGTTCAATTCCTTTCTTTTTAGGGAAAAGTTTATATAACGCCCAGGCTTTAATCAAGCAAATTCGAGCCTACCACAAAAATTTCACTAAGAAGAGGTTGTTTTGATACTTAAATATCTTCAAATTGATCATCTCGACTTCAAGATGGATGAACATGAAAAAAAATAGATTTCAAGTTTTGAAAAGTAATGTATTTTGTAACGTATTTTTTGACCGTCTATTTTCAAGTTTTCATAGATATATCGGTCTACACTATTTTTGAAGCTTTAAATTTTATAAATAAAGATGAAAATATATTTGAAAGTTATCACAAAGATTTCTAGTAAAGAAACCACATTTCTAGATACCATTTGAAGGTAGGTTCTAATTTGATTGTTTAGAGCCGAGGCTCTATACAAACCGCACCCTTCTCTTTATTACCCCTACGAAGGACAGAACCAAAAAAATGAAAAGAGAAAAATAAAAAAGAATATATTTAAAAATAAAAATCCAGATAAAAAAACGTTTAAAAATATAATTTAATTTCATAACAATATAAATTATAATCAATATTAGGGCTTAAAATATTTAGAAAAGTCATACTTAATTTATTTTTGGTTAATATCCAATAAGAGTTATAAATTCAAAAGAGGAAATGTTTATATAAGATGCACACCTAAAAAATCCATCGGAAAAGGTTTTGATACTTAAAAATTCTAAAATTAATCACCTCAGCATCTAGATGTATTGATATAGAAAAAAATTTCAAGTTACGAAAATAATGCATCTTGTAATGGATCATCTGAACCATCTATCTGTAAAAATTTAATTGTTAATAAATCTGCTCAATATCAACATATTCAGGTTGTTAAATTTCATTTTAGGGGTGATAAAAAATTTCCATGCCACCACAAGCCTTCATATTTCGGCATTATGTCGAGCTGCGCCTCATTCCAATATTATAAGGTTTTCATCTTTTACAAAATCTCACCTAACAATGATTTAAATACTACATGGGCAAGTTTGTTTCGGAGAAATTTCAACTTTGGGAGTCGTAGTTTCCGAAGTATATTGCCAGAGAAAACAAAACATTTTAGGAGGACCAAACTATAACCAACTTTCACTTGTGAATTTGCCGTTGGAGGATTGAAGCTCACCTGCTTCCCCACTTCAAAGATCATGTTGTTGCTTTGGTTTCCTACATTTTGCTAGCAACCTTTAAACCATCAGATTGTGCATCAAACAGTTAAAAATAAAGAAGCTAGCAAGATGTAGGAAATTCAAGCATCACAGTATCATTTTTTCGGATTCACTTGTGAAAAGTGAACCTTAAACTTCCCAAGCTACTCAGTCAAGTAACAGAGTGGTTAGAGGAAAGTATCCATTGATCAATAGCAGTGCTCCACACGATTACAAAAATCAAATGAAAGAGTCTTAATTACATTCTTTGAAATTCCCAATTGTTTGCCTCATTTTCTCCATCTCCTCAGCTAAAATGGATTCAACTGTCATATGGACCTCTTAAAAATGGATTTATTATCTTTTGTTTCATTTATTTCTATTTGTTTAGAAAACCATTCAACCTTAGCGGCTAGAAACCCATTTTCTTTTGGGTTAGGAAATAAATGGTATTTTAGAAAATATCTCCAATTTATGATCTAACGATAATTATATAAGATAATGATTAGTCATAATCATCTCCCCCACTGTCTCTTAAAAATAACTACCTATGATGGGTTAGGATAAAGGAAAAAAATATAATAAGGAAAAGATCTAAGGTGACTATCCCAGCTCTTGTTCATTCTATATAAGAAAATTCTCCATCAAGTTTGGAGGAGAAAAGAAGTGAAGGCCGATCCACCCCTTTCGGAGATTAGAACAAGAAGCTGTTTTTTTTTATTGTTGGATCATGGAGGGTATGTTTTACATCTACTGTTTTATTCTTATTTTTCAATAATCGTGATCAACGATCCAAAAAAGATTTACATGTCTTTCAGGTTCTTAAATATGTAAATCTGTAATTTATATTTTTTACATGGTAATCAACTCTGAAATCTAGAGTTTTATATACTCAGAGCTCCATTCCACGAGGCTATTGTGGTGATCAGAATCCTTGGGCCAAATTCTTCAAAGGTGTTGTCTTGGGTCCTTGATCTTAATCATCCAGTGCTTGTCTTCAAATTGGGCTTTCTTAGCCGATGCTCTGTCTTTCTTTAAGCGAGCTTTCCACCCCTTGTCCATCAAACAAAACCTCTGCAACTCTGGTGCCATGGAATCATGAATCTCCCACCACCTTTCATTCGCAACATCATTTGCGAATATCTGATTACCCTTCACATTCCAATTGCAATCGTAGTCCCGATAACAGAGCCATGGCTTCAAGCCCAAATAGTGTATCCCATAGACCTCATCAGATCGGAAAATCCGATTTTTCATCTCCATCTCCTCTGTCATATTGTTCCAGTTGGTCATGTAGTTTACCCTAGAAGCCCACCTATGCCACCATGTGAATACCTCATTGAGGAACCCTTGATCCCCTCCATTGTATGGGACAATTTCATCTATGTTCTCCATGAACATGTTGAAGGTGCAATTGGATGGCTTGATGAGCATCATCCCGGAATTGAAACGCCATGCATTGTTGCTGATAGCTGAGATTTGAGGGAACCCGAAAAGAACATCAAGGTTCTTCAAGACTATTATGTCAGAGTCTATGAAAACAACTTTGTGATAACCTAGGAGCTGCCATAATCGAAGCTTTGTGTAGTTCCACTCATTGTAAGCTTCTTTCTTGGCATAAGGGTTATGTATTCGATCGGTGTCTCGAATGATCCAACCCGAAGTGATAAGTGCACGCCGAGCTCTTAATGAGATAGAGCTATCAGCAAGGAGAACGAGGTCACGAGTGGTGCCAGTTCGAGCTAGGCTTTGGGCAAGGGCAATGGCACCACATACATAAGCCTCCGAAGAGTGAAGGACAGTCGCGTAAGCCTCGCGTTGCTTGACAGTGGGGCTCGGACCCACTTTAGGGGGATTCAGTTCGATCTTTCCACCTGCACTGCATCAGCCAAGTTGAGAGACTGTCCAGGAGGCCGTTGATAAGTACATCAATACATATAATGTAAATATATGATTATGTTAACATACACACACATAGAAAGCAAATAGAGAATTAGAAAAGAAAATGAGACAAAAATGGAAGTAAATGGTGGCAAATAGTATGGTAATGTGTTGCTTGGCAAAAACAGAATGAAGAATATACAGTAAGATCATTTATCTTTTGGTAGAACAAGGTCAGTATCACCCACAACAGTCAAATGTAAATATGATGGGTGACCAAATGACTTTTCTCGAATCTTATGAGAGAAAAGGACACACCCCTTAGCACTCAATTTCAGATCCGATGGCTAGGATGATTGTGATCTTCTTGTTTCCAAGGTAGACTTATAACATATCGTCACAACAAACCATACTTTATAAAGATATATCTCTAAGGAAAAAATTCAATATAAAGCCAAGGCTCTAAACAATCAAATTAGAGTCCACCTCAAAAATTTCACTAGAAGAGGTTGTTTTGATGCCCAAATATCTTCAAATTAATCATCTCGATACCAAGATGTATAGACATGAGAAAAAAACGGATTTCAAGTTTTGGCAATAGTGCATCTTGTAACGTATTTTTATACGGTCAATTTTCAAGTTTTCATAGATATGTTCGATCAACATTATTTTTTAAGCCTTAAATTTTATAATTAAAGATAAAAAAATGTTTTAAGGTTATCTCAAAGATTTTCACTATTAAAACGACATTTCTAAACACTATTGGAAGGTGCGCTTTTCGTTGATTGTCTAGAGCCTCGACGTCCATACAAACCGCTCCCTTTCTCTAAATTTCAGTTAGGGAAGAGGATGAGCTATTTCAATGTCACTTCTCATTATTTTAAGGAATAGCAAACACATAGCTTTTAATATTTCAATAAAAACTAGAGGTATCCTTACTAATCCAGAGTAAAAATCAAAATCATTGATGAGTGCAGATTTTTCCAAGCGTTACTACTAATTGGTACTTAAGAAAATATTGGATTATTTTAGTGTAGCTAAGGAAAGTTGAATATCAATTGTTCGAAAAGGAATAACAAATCGTATAATAAGCCTAGATGAATAATGATCCGATTTTTTAAATGGTCAGATACAGGAAATTTAAATCTGAATTTATTAAAATAAGCATCTAATATTTTTTATATAATTTTTAAGATTTTTAATGGAAAAAATCCTCCCAAGTAACTCTTTCATGAGAGGAAGTAAATATATAACATGTTTTTGTGAGAGCATGCTAACAAAGGGAGAGTGCGAGTATATGCTTATGCTTAAGGTTTTGCACATGAATAACAAAATATAAATATTTTTGTCGTGACACACTTATAGGTCACCTATAGAAGAACATGACTATAGGGCATTCAGAATGCATAAAAGATAATGACACGATTTTTATGAGTCCCAGGACTCATGTGTAGATATGTGGCCGCTCTTTATGATCTATTTTTTAGATGGATTTCGGACTTGATTTTTTTATGCAATATGTATCCTTTAATGTGGAGGTTAGCAGTATTGACAAAAAAAAAAAAAGCCTAAAATAATAATTTTTTTAGTAAAACTTGTTGACAGTTGATTTTTGTTTATATGGAGAGACCACCATGCGTCCATTTTCAAGATGGATGGGTGATGCCTTGGGGACGCAAATGTAGAACTACAGAACAATTTTCCCAAAGATGAAGATTTCGTGAGCGGACCAACAAGGGTCTAAACCAAAAGGCTCAGATTGCAAGACTATAAGATAGTAAGTTCCTACATTACATTCACCCAAATAAGATGCACATTTTGGTTCATGTCTATTTTTATATTTTTCGTTTGACTTGATGAGATGCACACGTATGAGACGTTTGGGGACTTCTCACTTTTTTTTATATGGAAAACAAAAGCTAACGCCTCAAATCTCGGTCGCAGGCCTATACTGTTTAGTAGGGCCCGCGGAAATTTCATCGTATATTAACTTCGAAACCGTGAAATTCGTGGAGAGTGGTGTGAGAAACATTCACTCCCTCTTTTCTATTCCGAGCGTCTTGGGAATGAAAGGTAATCCCCAATGGCCCACCCCTGCTATTCATGTCCTTTGCTAATAATAAATCCAACCCATCTCTCTCTTCTCTCTTTTCCGAAAAATCAGACAACTCTCTCTCTCTCTCTAGATTATCGATCATCGATACTAACAGTGGATAAGAAATCTCTCTCCCCTCCGACTGTTCTCTGCAATGAAAAGCAAACAAACTTTTTCTTTTCTTTTTTTTTTTTTGGAACGAAAAGAGAATCAATGAACGCTGCTCTCTCTCTCTCTCATTTTGGTGCAAAACAAAAACAATAAATGTTACTCCTCTCTCTCTCTCTCTCTTTTGCCCAATCCAATACCGAAAACAGTCAGAACAATAAACAACCATCTCGCTCTCATACTTCTTGCCTAAGCAAATCAAATGCAATAAATATTAGAGGCAGTTAGCCCTTTGGTTTTCTTTCTTAGTTTTTGAGAAAACAGCGGTCTGGTTTGAGAACCGCATTGTATATGTCTTATTTTACTTTTTATAAAAACAGCAGTCCAAGGATCGGGTGTTATATGTTTTTTTTTTTTTGATAAAAACAGCGGTCCAAAGATGACGCCCTATATGCCTTTTTATTTTGAAAAAACAGCTGTTCGAGTACAAGAAGCTACCACGGACTGAGCACAACTCAATTCTAGGGCAGTCCAAGGTTCATATTCGGACCCTTTTTTATTTTTTACTTTGTGAGATAAACATTTGTTCAAGGATGAGGACCTCAAACTGCTTAGCATCAGTCCGAGGATTCTAACCTAACCTTCTACCGTTTAGGCACTGCTTCTAAAGCTCATGGTAATGCCATATTAAGGATAAAACTAAAGAAAATATCATCAAGACAAGTAATTTTGAGAAAATAAAAAATACAAATTGATTGACTTTTTTGTAATTTATGCTAATAAACTAAACATTTCATATTTATCTAGTTTGGGAGTTCTTTAGTAAATCACTCAATAAATAAAAAGAAAGTATATAATGAAACCATATACTTTTGATATAAGGTGGTCACAATTAAACTTGACCATTAAATGTGAAATTGAGTGGTTACATTTAAAATTAAAATTCAAAAGCAATTTTTTCAAACTTTATAACACACCCAAGTTATCGGATCAATTTTCTTCAACTTTATAACACACCCAAGCTATCAGATTTGGCATGAGATGGTTGTAAGTATACCAATTGTAAATGGTTTCATTGTATACAATCCCATAAATAAATATGAAGCAGTTTCGTGTGCACCTACCTGTCCTCTTCAAAGGCAGCGCCAACTTGCAGGACCCAACTGGCATGGCAATCCTCTCTCTCATCTTCCTCAAATCCACCTTGTAAACCCACTCATCTTTCTCTCTCTTCCCCACCATCTCATCGCACCCAAATATCTCCTCCATCGCCCTGCACTCACTCACCACCACCACTTTCACCTCCGCCTCCTCCTCCTCCTCTAAACTTGCGCCACTCACCGCTAAGTTGGCGGCGATTAAATGCAATTGCAGCCTAAACACATCTCTCCGCCACCCCTCTTCAGGATACCTGCATGGAACCCCCACAACCACCACGTCGAAGCGGCCGAGGTCTTCAAAATCCGGCATCGGAATTTTGGGGCACTTTTGCCGACGACAAGTCTCTTCCTCGTCAATCCACTTTGGGTATAGATTGGACCACTTCACCGACTCGCTGACTCGCTCGAACCCAACCCGGACTGCCCTTCCGAGTCTGCTCAAATGCACGACCCGGTCCGAGTCAGCGTCCATGTTCACGAGGGCAATTCTCAGGGTCCCATTGCTCGCCTTCTCGAACAATTTCACCGTTGAGCTTTCCGGCAATTTCGCTGAAGTGTTTGTCGCCAGAATTCTTGTGGTTCTGGTTTTGGGGTGAAGACGAGAGGGGTAGTCTTGAAGCAGGACAGGGGAGAGATAAATGATGAGCATGAGCGCAAAAGAGGTAAGAAAGAAGAGAGAGAGGAAGGCATGGTTATAGCTCTTTTGCACCATGAAAGCCATCTCAAGAGCTGTTTTGTAGAGAGAGAAACCTCTTAGAAATACATAAACCCAGAGACTATACCCAGAGAGAGAATATCACGAGAATACTAACTAGAGAGAGAGGAAGGGAGCAGTTGTCAAGACTTTTTATGTGGGAAAAATAGTGATTTTTTCTCCACTTTCTTGCTCTTTCTCTCTCTAAAATGTGTTAGTGAGAGAGAGATCAATGCGAAGATTGTGCTTCTCAGGTTGGCGTGCAATATAACTTAAGGGGTATTAATGATCCAGTGTCCCAAATTAGTTGTATACCTCTTGATTTAATTTTAACCACAAGCTCCCGCCTCTTTCTATTACACCCCGATTATCTCTATTTTCAAGAGGTTAAACATAGAACCAAGCAATTAACACACTATTCTCTCTCTTGTTGATTAAAGACGCATTGATTAAGATTGCACGAGTTGATTCTCTCTCTCTCTACCATCTAATAAAGATGTCCTCTCTCCTAAACGTGCAAACCATGATAAACACATATATTCCTTCATTTATTTGGACGAATTCAATTCATGTCGACTTACCAAATATATCGAATTTTTTAAAATGAAATTTCTGTAAAAGGTGAGGTTTGTATAAGGTCCCGACCTTATTTTATACATATGTGAGGCGCAAGTCTAAATTTTATTGAAAGATGTAATTTTGATATCAGAAATCGCTTATAAATTCATGTTCAACTCTAATTATGAAATTTAAAATTATTAAAATGATACAAACCAAGCATGTCTATAAAGACACGGTTTTTATGTGTCCTTGAAGAAATGAGTCGACTCTTAAAATTCTATTTTTGAGATGGGTTTTCAAACCCAATTTTTAAGGACATGTAATCTCTAACATGGAGATCATGAATATAAATAACTAAATAATTTTTAAGAAATAAAAATAATGATTTTATAAATAAAACATTTGGACAGTTAGTTTAAATTTTTTTAGAGAGACCACTTATTTGCATCCATCTTTAAGATTTATACTTTATACCTTGGGATTGCATATTGTAGAAATGCGATCCAGCTCACATAAAACAATTTTCTATTTATAATCACTTGAAAATCTTAAAACAGATGGTCTAATTAACTTATTCCATGATGCATTATTTTTAGGATTTGAATTTTTTTTTTTTATTATATCAATATATCTCGAGGTCGATATGATTAATTGGCAGATTTTCCAACTTTACAATACTCTTTTCTACTAAGTGCACCTTATTTCTATAATATAAGATTGCAATCTTATCCAAACTTTTGGGACAAGAATATTTTGACGTTATAATAAAGTGAAGGCGATGGTGTTGATATGCCTAATAGAGAGACCAATGTATTTTAATAATATTTTTGGTAATAAGTAAGGATATATTTTTGTTAATTTTATTAGTAATAAATAAGGATTTCTTTTGTGTTATATATTTAATTAAACACAACTAATGTGACTACTATTGTTTATAACAATAAGTGGCCTCCATGAAGATGAACGACTTGTCGGAATGAGCCACAGGGTCAACATTTTTTACCAAAAGTTTAAAATTTCTTGCCTTAAAAATTCAAGCATGGACTCAATATTTTGCGAAATTTTCGCTAAGTTTCTGCAATCTTTCGCCTATGGGCTTTACTGGATATGAAAAAGTTTATATAAGTGCAATTCAACAGTCAAAATAGGGTATTGATTTCATGCAAGGATTGTATTATAGTATAATGCAACAATATTTCTAGAAAATCATGTTTGTGGTATTTGTATTATTTAAAATTTTGCACACACACTCTTTTCATCTCAATAATCAATCCAAAACAAAAAAAAAATCAATTTGAACCCTAAATATGGTGAGTCCCCTACAAAAACGAATCTAAACCATTCATTTGGTGAATGTCAAGATCTTAGCTTTTATGAACTCAAAATCATTTTTTGGTTATTTAACATTATTCATCTCATGATAATAAAGCCATCCAAAAAAATTGGAAATGAAAAAATCCTTCTAAAGCTTAAATCTAAACATCTCACCAAAATGAATGGCCTATGTTAATTGGGCTAAAAAAATACGTTTTAAATTGTGTTTTCATATTTTTCTTTTTTGTGATTGTTCACTATAATTAAAAGAGTGTATATTTCAAATTTTGGATCAAACAAATGGTCATAACATTATTTTTTAAGATTTTTCCATCATATTATTATACAACCGTTGCTCGTCAAAATATCTTTAAATTGATCATCTCGATTTTGACTATTACCGAAAAAAGAACTTCTGAAAGTAATGTATCATGTAGAAAGTAATGTATCATGTAGAAAGTAACAGAACTGCCCATATGTTAAAAATACAAGATATTACAATTTTAAATTTCACTAGAATCTAATAAGTTCAGCTGCAATTCAATAAAGAGTCAAAATATCAGGCCTGAAAATCTTTTATTTCATGGAATCAAGAAAAAGCCATTGATAACACAAGTGAGCAGGTATTAACTACTAATTACCTTTTCGGATAAAGAGTAGAAAGTAGAAACAAAAATAGTGGTTGGTTTGTGGCTGCAATTCTTTTAGACGTGATCAAAACCTTAATTTTCTTATGGGCAGTTGAAATTAACCTGGTTTCACTCAACTTTATTCATCACCATTGGCTTACTTGGTCTCTTGTACAAGATGTCACACCACAGTTAAACTATTAACTCTCTCTCTCTCATGAGACTTTAAACCCCCCGCTCTCTAATCTCTATGATGGCGAATTTGTGTGTGCACACGCGTGTAAGAAGAGATTCTCTCTCTCTAGTGAAACTCTAAAACCAGGCTTCCCCCCCTCACTTCTCTCTCCATGATGATGAATTTGTGTGAGTGCACACGTGCGTATAGAGAGAGAGATAAACACATTACAAGAAATTAATATAAATACAAGATATTTAATGTCCCTTAAACTTGATTCAAACAGCTACGGGCACTTTGAGGGACTCTAATATCTTGTCATCAATTTCAAACTGCATAGACTTGGTGTCTCTACCAATCTTCACATACTCCTCAAACCTCTCCTTCAAATCTTCACCAAGGTTGGTGGTGCTCTGCCACCCCAATATCTCCTTGGTGGCCCTCGGCTCTGCATAAAAGTGCTGTGTAGGGAAAAAATCAATAAATTAGAAAAAGCCATTTATCAGTATGCATATATTGTGATCCAATCATCTGAAAGACATGGGTCATACTTGTCATTCGAATAAACTGAGAAATTGTGACACAGAGTGGGGCCTTCCATTTTGTTCATGTTAAGCTCTCATGGGTCCTATTCTCATCATAATCCTTCAATTTAGAGAAGGGCGATAAGTATTGATAGTAACTATGACCATGACTTTCTATGATCAGTATATACACAGTCTGAGAATGCCAGTAATGAGCAAACTCATCCTGTGCATCTGTTCTTCTCGAGAGAACTGAAAACCAAAAGTCATTCATTTCTATTCAGGTCTACTGGACTTTCGACTCCTAGAAGTGGGAGAGAACAAACGCTAGCAACCCCGATGGATTGAAAAACCACGTCTCATTGAGTAAGAAAAATAATTTGGAAAAAACAAACAGTTTCTCCCTCGTATTTCCAGAAAAAAATAATTGCCTCATTTGTCGGAAAAAGCTGACCTCACATAGTTAGAATAAGGCTCGGATGATGATGATGATGATGATTTTTCATATAGGAAAAGGATTAGAAATACCTTGTGTATGAAAAACCCATCAAACGATTTGCAGGGAAATACGAAAAACAATTAAATGGTGATGGTTGCCACCATGTCCCCAAAAAGTAAAAGAGCACTCTCTCCCTATGTGATGTCTCAAGAACTGCATCAGAGTGAAAAATAAATAGCTACGCTTCCAAATGTTACACAGGGTGGGGTTATACTCTAGCGTTTTCAGCAAAAGTCGAGGGCGTCCTTTGTAGCCCAGGACAAAGTGATTTCTTCATTTTCCATTTACCCAAAAGAATTACAGACACTTCAGAAACTATAACAAAATTGTCAAGAAAGATAGATGAGAGAGAGAGAGAGAGATACCATGTTGCGAAAAGGGAATGCTTTCTTTGCATCAATCCCGACAGCCTTTGGATCATAATGAACAATATTGACAGGGCGCCCAGCTGCCTGAGAACAAAGCTTGGCCAACCCATCAAAGGTCACTGCCCGATCACTTACACAGTTGAAAATCTGGCCATTTGCCTTAGAAGGGTTCTCAACCGCCAAAGCTAGCATGCTTGATAAATCCCGAACATGTGATATATTTGTTAGTTGGAGTCCTGATCCAGGGATTGGAACAGGCCTGTCTCGAACAATGCCTGCAAAATACAGTCCCAAAACTTGGTCACATGATCTATAAGCTAAAGAACATTTCTCAGCTGCTACAGATAGGCATTGTCTACATGTATGTATATAATGGGCATTGTGCATACATGTGCACACATTGTATCAGGATACACCTGTATTCATGTGCAACACGGGCATTACTTTTATCTTCTTCTTTTTTAAACTGTTAACATTTTATTAATATAACCGCAAAGGTACGATAGAGACACCCCCCAAGGCGGGGCCAAATACAAAACCAACTAGGTGGGGTAATCCCATAGGGAACCCCAAAAAAACACTGTGAAATCTAAGACTCCTAAGAAGATCCCCGGCAGGTCCTTCAAGTTGTGATCCTAATCTTCCACTGTCAAGGAATTACAAGCACCTTCTCTTGCAAGGGCGTCCGTCTGAGAATTACTCTCGTGCCAAACATGACTCCAAGAGATCACGGGCATTACTTATCAAAAGAATAATGTAATCATGGGTATTGTGGAGATTGTTGCATTAAGTGCAATAGCCTTTCATTCATTCTTTAGTGGCTTTTCTCTAGTCTTCCCTTTATCATGTGGCTATATGTGTCACTCTAAATAAAGACAAATGCAATTATGCATGGAAACACAATACGCACTCCTATGATCCAGATCATCTGATCAGAACTCGTATGGTTCAATCCCAAGTAGCGGTCAAAAAGAACATAAACAAATTAAAGTATTAAGGAAATTTTTATCACACATATTGTGGGTATTTCCTCAATAATCAATAATCACTATCAATAAGTAAAAGGTAAATTCCAAGTGAAGCTTCGAGCACCTCAATCACATAGGCAACTAGGTAGCAACTCTGATCTAGCAAATTTCATCATTTCAGGAGCCTTTAAGACCGCAAGATAGCATAAAAAGTTCATTACTTTTCAGTGCAAAGCAAATCATTTTTCTGCTTATAAGAAATTCTTTTGGGGGTATAAATAGAAAGGTGAATCCACAATATCCATATTTATAAGTATGCCTCAAAAGAGATAATGACTATCACAATATTAGCATCTTCAAAGTAAATTTTAAGGGAGGCACATACGATCAAAAAACCATTCCTCACAATCTTTGTTGTTTCCAGATCCTATCATGTACTGTGGGCGGAATACAGCCGAGCTTTTAAAAGAAAGACCAGCTATGTACTTTTCCACTCCTACATGACTTGCATCCTCTTTAACAAGATCCTGCATCATTTTTATATTAGATCAGAAAAGAAAGATGCGTACAAATTATAAAATAATAATGAGTCAAAATAAAAGGAAACTGTAACTTCTAATTTTGAGAATGCAATTCCAATGGACATTCCCTATTTTACTGAAGGCTGTGCTCTCAGTCAATGTTGTCTTTTGAATGTGTATAAATAATAAATTGCTTTTGGATTTCTTATTGCCATTTAAATAATTACACATACTCTTCATTAGAATCCCAATGTTGGGTTAGATATGATGTTTACCGAACAAAGGAAATCAGTTTTTAATCCTCCTTTCTAGGTTCGGAAGGTGATGAGTTCCATGGGCTTAAAGCATCCATTAACTTGGATAGGAAGGAGCTGGGAATGATTGTCAAAACAAATCATCAGTTCAAGTTGGACTTGGTCTTTTACTTTTCAGGATGGACCAGGGAGCTGACCAAACAAAGAAAACATTGGCCTTGTCATGAACGTATATAGTATGCAAGACACATGACTTTCTCTTGATTTATGAAGATGGATGGGATGTAGTTCATCTCCTTATAGAATAGATACATAACTCATGCCTGGTTTTTATTGTAGATTAAATAAAACAGATGTGAGGAATCATTCAATGTTGTTCACGAACATTTTTCATTGCAAACAGAGCAAAAGAAAAATTAGATGTCACAAATCTGAAAATACAAAGCATAACATACCCCTTCAACATGCGGAGGCTCATCGCTTGTCTTATAAATTCCTGCACTGCTAATATACAGGAACTGTTGTGCACTGTTAGCTTTTGCCCAGTCTGCCACAGGCCTAGGTTTATAGTTCGATTTAGAAAACATATAGGATATATTTAATATCAAGAAGAGAGACGCATATCATAGATGTTCAATGGCTTCACTACGATTAAGCCTATCATAAATGTACTACTTGCTATTCAAATTTAGTAGTAGAAGGCTAATACACTGTAAGTATCCATCAAGAATGCATATTCATGCCCGTTTTGTACAAAACTCGGAATCTTTGGTTGGTTCTCAGGGTGGATGCAAGTTATAGAGACCAGTAGCACTTTGACAACAATCTTTAATGCAAGCGCCCTTCAACTTTGAAGTTTTGCTACCTTTCGGAATTTTGTGTGGTTTTTTGAAATAGTTTCTTGAATCTTGAAAAATTATGCACTATTCATAAAAGTGCCCTTGAACTTTGAAGTTTTGCTACCGTTCGGAATTTTGTGTGGTTTCTTGAAATATTTTCTTGAATCTTGAAAACTTATGCACTGTTATTAAGAAGAAAAATGAATCATTGCCCAGTTTGTCAATTTCAATTGGGTCAGTAAGCAAACAGGTTCATGTATTATCTGGATTTTGACCTTCAATTCCAATTTTCAAACACCCAACTTTCAAGAAACAAGACGGGAGAAGAAGATGGTAGTGCAAGGGATAATTCAGCCTTGAACTAAACCAAGTAAAGAAGGAAATTAAGTGGAATTTATCTACTGTCAGCTTTCAGCTTGCCAAGCTTAACAAATAGTGAAGAAGGTCCAGCATTGGTTCAAGCGTTCAAACAATACAGTCATCAAGATGCCGTTCAGAAAACTCTCCAGTCTTGGTTAGCAAAGAAAGAGGAAGAGGTTTAAAAGTTTAAATGGTTAGCTGGAATCTAAAATCTAAACAACTATCTAAAAACTAAAAGACTAAAACCATCTTGATTTACAAATCTCAATCTATTCAAACAACCATCCAAAATCTCACACTTCTTCACACATTAAATGATTAAAGTGATTAAACCAGTTATAAAGAGAGAGAGAGAGAGAGAGAGAGAGAGAGAGAGAGAGAGAGAGAGAGAGAGAGACGACGACGACGTACGACGTACGTACTACGTACTACGTACGTACGTACGTACGTACGTACGTACGTACGTACGTACCGTAACCCGTACCCGTACCGACCCGTACCGTACCGTACCGTACCGTACTAC